ATCTTTCAAAAATTGATGGTGGTATTACTGATGTGAATAATAAAATTAGTAAAACGGTGAAAGAAATAAGTGTAATTAAGAGCCTTATTTTGGATTCAAAAACTAATCAAGATCAAATCCAAGAGGCGATTGATATTCAAAATCAGCCACTTAAACTCGCTGATTTTAAAGAAGCTGACGAAATACGTGGAAAAAAAGTCAAGAAACATATTCACCTAATTGATAGTGAAGCTGTTGCTTTCAAACTTGTAGCTGATGAATCAGATACTACTGCGGTCAAGAATGATATACGTAGTCATGTCGCTATTCTTATGAAACTTAAGGATTGCCATCAAATAATTCAATTTTATGGTCTTGTTTCTGATGGCGAGAGACGTTATTTAGTGTCTGAATGGGCTGAACTTGGTAACTTACGAGAATTTTATGAAAAGTATGGTGGTCCTATTGACACTAGGATAAAAATAAATATTGCGGTTGACATTGCTCGTGGTTTAAACTTTTTACGAGCCGTAGAGGTATTTATATTTATCATTTATTATTCTATTAAATTCTGTAGATTGAACTATATTTAAATAATATAATTATCATATAGATAGTTCATCGCGATATTCGACCTGAAAATATCTTGATAAAAGCGAATGAAACTGCCAAAATTGCCAACTTTTCACTTAGTAGACACTTTAGAGATGAAACAAGGAGATTGGCTGTGTCATTACAAACTGTTCGTTACTCTGCTCCTGAAATGTTATACAGAAATACAAACAAATATAATACTAAATGTGAAGTTTACAGGTATGAAATTTCTTCAATTTTACCAATAGATTTGTCAATAGATTTATCCTTTTTCAATCCTTTTAACCTATAATTACCAATTTATAATAATTTATAATAATTAGCTTTGGCATCCTTTTATGGGAATTAGCTGAGCAAAAAGTTCCATATAAGCACCTTGATGACATTATGGAAATTAAAAACCGTGTAGATAAAGAAAAATATCGTGAACAATTTACACCTTTTTCTAATTTGCCAAAGGAATATAAGGACATTTCCATTAAAGGTTTGAATTTTATTATTATTATTTCTTATATTTGTATTTATACTTGTATTTATATTGTATTTTAATACCTCGTTTTTTTATTTATATTTATATTGTAGCCGTTGGTGCAGATCCAGATTTTAGGCCAACTATAACAGAAATGTTCAAAACACTTAAAAAACTTCAGGAAAATTTACTTTCGCATAGGCCTGTGACTCCTATAAATGTACCCAGTGAACCCACTTGTGTA